GTCAGCATATTGCGCCCAACAACAATCCGGGTCCTCATTTTACCCACCTCGGAAGGATGTAAGGCTGAGTCAACCCTGAGCCGGCGAGATTTGAACAGCCGAACTGCAGAATTGCAGTCAGCTGAAGTAGCCTGCAGTGCTACATTTAGCCACTGCGCCACCTTGGCTCATTTGATACATGTAACACCATAACTGAACACAGAATGAAGGTTATGCCTTTGATAACAGTCTATCATCAATGCTTAGAAGAACTGAGGGAAATGTGGAAACTTTCTGTAAGTTTCTGAACAGCTCTAGGTTTCATTTGCTATGCTCATGCTTTCATTTCTCCCACTACATTGCACACAAACTAATTTGGTATCTTTTCAGATGCTTCAGAGGTGACTTATCTGAAAAGTATTGATACATAAGGAATATACCATGTAAGCTTGATTCTCAATAAAGTAAAATGGGCGAATCCGTCTGAAAATACTATTCCAAATTGGATTTGCAATGCTCAAGACAGAATATAGCTAATATGGGGTGATACATACATTCAATATAACATAGTAAAGATTTACACTGATCACTAAATTGTATTGGTGTATAACTGCAACCAACCAACGAGAAAACTGTTATGTATACATAAGTAACAGGATTGAATGCATCAAGAAGTGAATCTAACTACAATAGTGGCATTATATTTTCCGCTGAGCAGTATTAACCACACTTCAAGATCAGAACATGAAGAACAATGTGCGTACACATAGACAGCATGGCTTACAAAGCCAGATTTCCCCCTACACTGTATAAAATTAATTACCAAATACATAAAAGTTTTTAAATTTATGGAATCTGCAGAGTACACCAGAACAACTAAACACAGGAATAGTTTTTTCCGAACACCATCACTCTGTTAAATAAATAATTCCCTCAACACTGTCAAACTATTTGCTAAGTCTGTATTACTATTACTATTAATCTTCTCATTGTTCCTATCACCCATCTCCTCCCACTTATGACTGTATGTCTAAAATTGTTGCTTATATCCTTATGATTTACATTGTTTCCTAGTATGATTTGATTGCTTATTTGTACCCTATGACTATCATTAAGTGTTGTACTTTATGATACATGACAAATGCATCTTTTCTTTTATGTACACTGCGAGCATATGCACCAGGATATGTGAGGTTTTTTTTTATTAAGCCATGAAATCAATAAGAAGACAAGCTATCATCTTTTTAGGATTGTAAGACACACCCTTTTCCCTTCAAAAAGAGGGTGAAAATCTGGGTGCATCTTATACACCGAATACAGCATTTTGGCATCCCAAAACCCCACCCCCTTCGCAAAAATGGATGTGCAGAGGGTTTCGGAGGCCTCAAAGTGCTCCTGAGGGCTAGGGAGGACAAAAACAAGTGTAAATGGGCTCATTTCTCCCCCCCCCCCCGCCTTCCCCAGGAGCACTCTAGAAACCTCCTAAAGGCTATGCATGCCCCTTTTGGGCAAAAAACAGGCCCATTTTCACGAAAAATGGGCTTTTTTGCCCCTCAGCCCCAGGAGCACTTTGCAGGCCTCTTAAACTCTCTGCATGCCCTGTTTTTCACAAAAACTGAGGCGTGCAGAGGCTTTGGGAGGTCTGCAGAGTGCAAAACCTTTTTTTAAACATTTACCTCTTAAAAATCTTGGTATGTCTTATACACCAGTTCTCTTACACTCCGAAAAATACAGTAAATCATCTTAAGCTTAATGAATATTTTTTCCCCATCCAAGATCAGACCCCTTGAAATCTCTATAGATTCAAGTTATACCTGAATCCACAGCCAATTAGGAACCAGGCCGTGCAAACCAGGGAAGCTTCAGTTGTGCATGCATGGAGTCAAGGTAGTACACCAAATCACACACACACACACACCACCAGTCTGTGGAAAAATTGTTTCCCCGGAAACTGGTCCCTGGTATAAAAAAGATTGGGAACCACTTCCCTACAGCATGCACAGGACACTGATCAAGAGAGTAAAAAGTAAGGAGTTCCTAAATGTAGTTCCTGTATAAGATAATTCATGGAAAATATATTTGAGAATGGATATGCAGAATCTACATCGCCAAAAAAAAAAAAAAGAAATCAAGGAATGCTGTTATCTCCCAACCATGTACAAAAATCATCAAGATTGAACGCCAGCAATAATGCCAAACCACACAAGAGTGGACCAAATTCAGTTAGTATATCTAGTCAGCACTATATTAAAATTTTACAGCCTATAAACTTTGGTTGACAATATGAATATATTGGAGAAAATGTGGGAAAGGTGTTAAGTTAACATTATTTAATATAAATGATATACCAATGGTACCTGACACTGACTAAACAGTCATACATTTATAAAGGAGTATCAAATCAGTGTTGGAAATATGAAAAGGAAAAGGGAACTTTTTAGCATGCAAGGTGAAAAAAGCAAAGAAATTTTGGGTGCAAATTCACGTCATGATAAAAAAAGATACTGCAAATTAATATTACAATCAAATCAGAATTATTATTGGATTTTCTGAGTGCTGAATTAAAAAGAAATATGGGAAACTATATGATAACAGCATCAAGATTATTCGACACACAGAGATGAAGAATAATAAATGAAATGATCATAAATAAATAATGAAATAATCACAGACGAATTGACTTAATTTTATAATTGCAAAAAAATGGCAAAAGTGACTAATTTGGTCAGGGGGAAAACTTTTTTAAAAGACTAGAAGCTTTACATGGACTTTTTGCTGAAAGAAGACGTGATGGAACTGAAAGAAGAAAAGATAGAACTGATGACTGAGGAATATGGAGATTAAAAGGATTAATAGAGTAGGGAAATAAATGGCAATTACTGGCTAGAAAGAGCAGCGGAAGTCAAAATTCTATGCTTCCTTTCTTTTTTATTTGATTTCTTACTTTTTTCTTATTTCCTATCCTTTTTCTTTTCATGTTTATACTTTTATTGTGTTGTAAAATTCTAATAAAAATATTGTTTTAAAAAAACACTGTATTAATCATTTTACTTGTATATCGCAATAATGGCAGAAGAAACACCACCACTAACATTTCATGGTCGACATCATTACAACTATAGGACTGATGGGTGGAATCTCAAAGTGTTGCCTACTGCATCCTGAACTCAGCTCAGTTATGATGTTTTGACTACCTAGTTGGCTAAAGTCACAGTTATTATTAATTCAAAGCCTCTGACTCCTGTCTCTACTGATCCAGAATCTCCTAATCTCCAGAATCCAGAATCTCCTAACCTGCTATGCTTTTCGCTCATCAGAAGACTAGTGTGAACTTGGCACCACTTGAGGTGTTCACCATCAAGGACCTGTAAAATGTCAACGAAGACAGATACCAAGTCTCACCAACTCATTTTAAACCACCACAACTCTACAGATAAGATGCAAATAGCAGTTCATTCAAAAGAATTTCAAGTTGGTGACCTGTTTTGCTAAACGACATGTAAGTAAACTAGATTCATGGCTCCTGGAATTCTTCACTCAAGCTATGTACATTCAAGATTTGAAGATTTGAAAAGCAGAAATTAAATAAATGACCATAATATGGATCAAACGAACACATATTAAAAATATTCAAACTATTTGCATCCAAAGCAGGAAAGAAGCTTCATATTCATTGTTCATGCGCAGCGAACAGCGGTGGCGGCAACCGGCAGTGGCGATCCCCGCCAGCTGATCAGTAGTATTCCAGGAAGCAAGTGGCGGCAGTGACAATGATAGGTGGCAGCAGCAACAGAATAGATCCAGGTCCCAGGAGAAAAAATCCATTGTGGGAACAGCCTCACCTATAAGAAATTTCTTCCGTAGCTTCAAGAGCTTTTGGCTGAAACGATATAGGGCCGGGATGGTGAACCTGTGGCACGCGGAGCCATTTTTCAGGGCACACGAGGCGCTGTTCAGCCTTTTTTAAAACCATTTTTTGCCCTCCCCAGGCTCCAGAGGCTTTATGGGAGCCTGAGGAGGATGAAAAGAGCCTCCCTGCGCCCCCCCCCTCCCCCGAGGCCCTCCAGAGGCTTCAGGAGCTTCCCTGAAGCCTCCGGAGTGCAAAAAAAATGGCCCTATGGGCAAACTGGAAGTTTGGGAATGGACTTCCGGTTTGCTCGGAGGGTCGGTTTAAGCCCTCTGGAAGCTTCAGGGACCTTCAGGAGGCTTCCCTGAAGCCTCTGGAGGACTAAAAACCACCCTATGAGCAATCTGGAAGTGACTTCTGGTTTGCTTGTAGGGTCCTTTTTAGTCCTCTGGAGGCTTCAGGGAAGCTTCCTAAAGGTCCCTGAAGCCTCCGGAGGGCTTAAACCAACCCTCCGAGCAAACTGGAAGTGACTTCCGGTTTGCTCAGAGGGTCATTTTTTGCCCTTCGGAGGCTTCAGGGAAGCCTCCTGAGAGTCCCCAAAGCCTCTGGGGGGACAGGGGAGGCTGTTTTTCCCCTCCCCAGGCTCCTATAAAGCCTCTGGAGCTTGGGGAGGGTGAAAAAAGCATGGAAAAATGAGGGGAAGCGCCTCTCATGCGCACATGCGTCACTGGGGGGGGGTCACACATTGCATTATGGGTGTGGTACGCCCAAGCAGGACCCCCCTGCACTCCCCCCCATGGCACGTGAGTCATAAAAGGTTCGCCATCGCTGATGCAGGGTTTCCTGCCTGAGCAGCGGGTTGGACTAGAAGATCTCCAAGGGCCCTTCCAGTTCTGTTATTCTGTATAACAGCATGTTACAAGAAGCAACTGAAGATAAGTCTTAAAAGGTTTAGACAAAACCGTGGCTGAAACAAAACCATTTTTTGTTTTCTTGTTTTCCTCCTCAAAAGTTAGGTGCATCTTATGGCCTGGAGCATCTTATAGAGCGAAAAATATGGTAATTCTAATGTATGTTAGAACTACAAAAAACATGTTGGTATGTTTTTTGATAGTAAGAACTACATTGTACATTTTATAATAGTAAGACTATTAATTATGTAAACAAATCTTACCTACAGAAGTCATTAGCATAACTTCATTGCGCTTTGATTCAAGTTTTTCTCTCACCCATGGAAATTCTTGTAAGGATTCTAGAAATGCTTCAAATGCCTTAGGCCCTCTTGTTGGAAGGATGTCAAGAAGTACCAAAGTTTTCCGTTGATTAGTAACTTGGGCCCTTATTTCTTGCACATGATTGTCTGTTAGAATTTCTTCTTGATAAAGATATTGAATAATAAGACCCTCAACCAGCAGGTCTGCACACAGCTCCAGGCGCAAGAAGCGCAGAACCTGCTTGTCTCTGGCATCCATCCTGAGAAAGAAAAGAAATGTGAGTAGCCAACTTTGAAGGCATCACTTTGGAATCCTATCAATATGCATTTGTAAAATATGGCTAATTATTTTTATAAAGGTATTATAATGAGGCATTAGTGGAGAAAGAAATACAGGCTTGCCTAAGATTTTTCATAATGGAACAGTTCCATGTTTCTATAGAAAAGATGCCACCAAAATGTCACATTTGTAGCCATATCTTTGGAGACTAGAACTTCTACCATTAATGGGTACAACACCTGGCTTAGATGTTTTTTGAACTGCAGGATGTGTGCGCGCCCGTGCGCATGTTTGTGTGAAGGGCATATTGCAAAAGACCCAGGCGACTGTCTTATTTAATATTTCATGACCATTGACATCTGTTGTAAAGACTAGGACAAATCTAAAATATAAAGATGTCGTTGATTACAGTTTATCATTTTAAGCTGGCATGTTTTAAGATTATTTCTTTAGTTTAAGTTAAGTTTTAAACATCCTGAAGCAAAAGAAAGTGACTAGGTTTGCAAATTACAAAAATCATGTAGTTTAGTTCTATAACAGAATGTTGTACAAACCTAGTTAATTGTTAGGTGAATATAATATACTTTAATATATAAAAAATGTAAAACAATTGTGCTGCAAAACAAAGCATCCACTTCAAACATGTATTCTAAGGGTGTTTAGGGTCACACATAGACCCCCAATTTTTTAATTTTTACATTTTTTTTAAATGAAGAACAGTCAACTGCAATCCAGGGCTTTATTTGGAAGTGTGTTTATCTACTTCCCCAGTGGGCCTGCCTTTTTAAAAAAAGACAAGGTAAAGCTAAATAGAAAACATTTTAAGAGTATGGCTGTCTGAGGAATTCTGGAAGTTGAAATGTACACATCTTAAAAGTAGCTGAGGTTAAGAAACACTGAACTACAGGAATAATGGGAAGTTGCCATATCAGGCTGTTTCCTGATAGATGGCTGATTGGTCTGATCATGCCCATCCCAATTATTTATAAGAGGACCCTTAATATACACAGATTTCAAAATCTGCCCATTTGCTCCAAAAACTTGGGCAGGTTAGGACAGTGTGCAAATCCAATTATTATCTGGCAGAAACCTCAAATGTCAACCACTATATTATTGTAGCAACAACCTTTAAAATTCTGTCTAACTGTGTCTGGAGTGCCTTAGAAGCATCCCAGTGTATTCTAAGAAAGGTTGACATATTTTTGACTATGACTCCTGAAGTTAATCCTAATTTTCTCAAAACTGACAGTTTTATGTCGCAACGTAATACCATCCAACTGAGCTCAGCTTTTCCATAGATTGATATGAGCCACTCTGAAAACTACCCAAACAAAACCTGCAGGATTGTAAAATAAAAGTAAATAGAAGCTCTAACGGGGCTTTAGAATTACAATTAGAAACATAGCAAGCAGTACAAAGTATTACAAAAAAAAAATAGCAATCTGAGAAAAAATAGCAGAAGCATTAAGCTTTTAAATGGTCTGGGTAATCATATAAGTTAAACATGTTTACATTTGTAACATTTTTTGCTTTTAAATATATATGTATATTATTTTTAATTTGTTTTATTGGATTGTTTTTCCTGTTGTGAGCCACAGAGTCACTTAGATGAGATGGGAAGCCATGCAAATAGAATAAATAAATCATGATTTATCTTCTTTCATGGACTCCAGGATAACATAAGGGATTTTCCTCATACACCTTTCTATTAACGAAGTGAGAATAATTCCAGGTTTCCTTATTTTGCCTTAAGTATATTTTAGACCACTGTATCCAGAACCCAATTTAAGAACCAGCCACGCTCAAATCATTTTATTCTGGACGATCATTTAAGCAGCTTTCAGACATTTCTATTCTTCTCTCTTTGAAATTATGCATGCAGCAATAACAATCAACTCACAAACTGAAAGCCATTACTTGCAAAATGTAGCTCAATAACATTTTTTAAGAAAAAAGTAAAAACAGCAGAATGTTGTCCCAGAAAGAAAAACTGCACAGAAATGAAGTTGCAGGTTTATATAAAGCCTGAGAAAATAAACCGGACTGCTCTGAAATGGCACAATAATCGGCACAGTAAAAAGAACAAAAAAGCTGTTCTTTTAAAGTACTTACAAAATGAAGCGAAAGTGTTATTTATTAACTCCAGGAATAATTCTGAACTGCCCCCCCTGCACCATTTTTCCTGGAGAGAAAATCGCGAAACAGGAAGTGCTCCTTCCTCACAGTTCTTACAAGCGACAGACCTCAATGAAAGGCGGGCGCTTGAACCAAACTTGCGCGACGATTCGCGTCGAAAGTTCTCGCATCCCTTTGCCGCCATTTTGCTCTTCGCTTACAAGATTAGAGGAAACAGTGGAGTAATCTGAAATTGGGGACATTGTTTCTGTGATTAGATGCGTGGGTTACTTGTTGAAGTTGAACAGGAGCAGAAGCTTTTATTTCAAAACCATATTACAACCAAAACCGGAAAAAGCCTGGAATCTGAATATATCGAAACTACAATTCCCAGAATTCCGTGTGCTACGAATTGTAATTGCGTGAACGTCGGAAAAGCTAGAAAACATTTTTATCTTTCTTCAAGTTGGAACAAGAATCTATGCTGGCGAAATTCTGTACAATTACCATATATCTGAAATGAGTTGCAATTTAACTTTTTAGTATTTACTGATGAAGTACACTATATCATTAAATCAACGTTAACATATGAATAAATCTAAAACTTCAGAAGACTCTAGAGCTGCATATATTGTTATACTGCAACAATCAGGATGACAACTAGATGGCAGTAAAGTGATTTTGCATGCTTTGTTGCCATGTTGTGATTTTCTGGAGTTATGCAGCACCAATATTCAAGAAGAATCAAGCCAGTGGTCACAACTAAGGTGTGGCCATGTCACACATATACTGTTTATCGCTAAATTGTGTTTTCTAACAGTTGCTATAATGGACTGTGAGAAGTATTGTATTAGTGACTCAAAACTGAAGCTAGAAGTATTATTCAAGAGATTAAATTCAGTTTTGTCTTAGAAAGGCTATGAGAACAGAATGGATCATGTTTTGGCCAGATTCTTAAAACGAGAAATTAACTTTATTGCTAAGAAGAACTCTATTAAGTAATTAACTATATTTAGATCATATGATTGTATGATTTATATATTAACAGTATTTTTAATTGCCCATATTACTAATGTGCAAAAATTTAACAATAAAACATTACAACCCCCCCCCCCAACAGAATAAAATAATATCCCTCCAATATATAAAAGACATTCAAGAAGAAACAGTGGCAGAATTAGTCTTTAAAGGTTTGCCTGCATCAAATAGTTTTCACATCATTGCAAAATGCCATCAATAGGAGGTCAGGATAAGATGTTTCAAAAATCAGTGCATAGGGCTTTGAAAATGGTTTTTCAAGATGTTCTGAAAGGATGAGTGGAATCATTTTGAAGAAGGCACAGGAGGAAGCATTTGCCAACTCGATGTAGCAAGAGAGCATAGATGTTTCTAGAGATGGCACTGCTCAATGATGCCCAATTTAAGTGTGCCAGAGGTTTTGAGTCCGCTAGAGAAGATGAAACAAGCTGAAGACTATCAAACCAGACTGAGCATATTTTCTTGATGAAACCATGAGAGGATTGAATGAGAGATCTGCAGGGGATCAGGAGAATCTGGCAGGCAAATGAATACTATTATATGGAAGATCTGGAGGAAAGGAAGGAGAGTGGATTGGATTTTTCAATGGAGGACTGTAATGTAAGTTGTGGCAATAATTGGCCTATTGAAAGATGTTGAGTGAGTAGTTAAATGAATTTGACCAGGCATGGTCCACAGAAATGCCTTGCATATGTTGGCAAAGACTGGTGAAGTACGGTATGTGATGGTTGGAACCACTGTTGGCTTCTGGAAAAAATACAACGAGGGCCCAATTTAGCACCATGATGGGCAAGGGAAGGAAAGTGGGAGAACTATTGAATAGGTATTGCAAGAGATAGTGGACCTCCATTATTGATATGTCCAGGTATGTCCAACCTGCAGCCTATGAACTGCATGCAGCCCCGTAAGATCATACAAAATAAAGGAAGCTTGTTGTTGATATACATTAACTATATCATATATTTTATATGTGGCCCAAGATAATTCATATTCACTCGGTGGCCTAGGCAAGTCAAAAGGTTGGACACCCATAGTTATAGACCCTATTTCTAGGCCATTTAACCCAACCCTGGGTATAGGTGGCCAGTTTGTTAGGCACTTTGGTTTTAGGTTTATGGTTTAGGTTTATTGGTTTTGTATGCCGCCCACTCCCGAAGGACTCCGGGTGGCTCACAATAAACAGGGGAGGGAATAAATAAGACAATACAAACAATTTTAAAATCCACAACAATCACAATTAAGACGGGGCTGGGTGCTTTAACAGCCCCCAGGTTGTTTCAGGTTTCTGTTAATAAAGCCATGTCTGTGAACAATAAGACCGCATCAATGGTTTGGTAGTAGATGAGCATGCATAACTGGAGGGTAGCCCAAGTGAATATATAACCATTTCAAGTACTGCAGCAGAGATGGCAAAGCCAAAGAGAATGGATTGCCATGGCCATGCATGAGACTCTAGCAGTGATGAAAACTGCTTCAGAGGTAACTGTGTATGACTGTCTTTGCATGGAACTGTTCTACAGAAACAAGGCAAGGTTGCTGGTGGTATAGCAGTATTCTTATAGAAACTAGTTAGAGTATCCAGGACTTCAGTTTCCATGCCCTAGAGCCATGATGGCAAACCTATGGCACGCATGCCACCTGTAGGCCTCTCTGCCGGCACGCAAGCCCCAGCTGAGCTCCACCAAGCATGTGCTAATGGCCAGCTGATTTTCGAGTCTCTGAAAAACTCTATACAAGCCATCTATATACATAGGAATAGGAAGTGCCTCACAGGAGCAAATAGATGTAAATCCTAGAGAGGCAGGAAATGCATCACTGAACAATGGAAATGAATGCTAGAGAGGAATAAAGCTGCATACAAGGCCAACATAACTCCTGTAACAGTGTAGGCATGCACTGGGGGGTGCGCCCCCCAGTACCCCCTCTTTGGTCCCAGGAGGCTTCAGCAAGACCTACTAGGCCCAAAATGGGGCGTGGGAGGTCACTGCGTGGCATGCGAAGGAGTGGTTGAGGGGGGGTTGCGTACACATTGTATTATGGGTGTAGCGACACGTGGCGCTGCAGTAATTCTTATGAATAAATGGCCTCCATGGCCACTGTAGGTTGGATGCAAGCAATTGTGATGCCATGCACCTAGATAGGTACATGCTATACTACTTGTTACTTCAGAGGAGATAAGACATTTTCTGAAGATGGAAGATAGTGACATCTTTCCTTTGACTTGCTAAAATCATTTCATAGTTGCACTATAAATCATGGATGTCCTGGACCTCTCTGTGGGTGACAGTCTCTAGAATTTTCCATCCCTATAATCCATTGGATCCAGACATCCCAGAGGGTATTTGCTAATGTTTTTAAGTCAGTAGGCATGTTTTGTCTGATTTGATTGATTACAATGATTATTTCTTGAAGTCAGAGATTAATAGAATGCAGGGGGAAGTTGTTCCTACAGTCCCTGCATGATTGTCAATCCTGTGTAGCAACTTGAATGTGCCCCCTTGGTCCTGCTAGATTTCTTGACAGTATTCAGAATCATTGAATGTGGTATCTTCTGGACTGTCTGTAAAGTTGGAAGTTTGAGGCATTGTTCTATAATGATTGGAACCACTCCTGCTTAAGCAGCCAATTCCTATTAGTAGTTCTAGAAGGGCAGTACTCAAATTAATAGCAAGTCCTTTGCTTTTTAACAACTTTATGAAACTGCTTCAAGAAGTCACCCTTCTGTTGGAGTGAGGTATCAGTATGCCAGCGACATTCAACTAAACATTGCCATCTCAATCCAAGCTAGAAATTATGTGAAAACCTGAACCAGTATAGAGGCTGCCTGAGATGAAATAAGATTAAATTAAATCCCCAAAATTAGATTATGGAATTCCTGGTCATTAATAAGCATCTGGGCAATACATTCACATTGGTAATTTCTCTGGATAATATCATGCTTCCTCAAAGAACTTACTTTGCAAACTGGGAATCCTTCTGGACTTGTAGCTCCTATTTAAACAATAGGTAGAGGCCATGGCTAGTGGAATCAGGTATGAACCTACTTAGACCAAAATGCCCTCAAGATTTGATCACTACAGACAGTCCTTCTCTTACAATCACAATTGAGCCCAAAATTTATGTTGTTAAGCGAGAAATTTGTTAAAGGAGTTTTGATCCATTTTATGACTTTTCTCACCATATTTGTTAAGTGAATGACTGCTGTTGTTAAATTAATAACACGGCTGTTAAGTGAATCTGGTTTCCCAATGACTTTGCTCGTCAGAAGATCACAAAAGGTAATCCACCTGCCCCCCCCGGGACACTACAACCATCATAAATATCAGTCAGTTGTCAAGCATCCAAATGTAAATCATGTGACCATGGAGATGCTGCAACGGTCATAAGTGTGAAAATTGTCATAAGTCACTTTTTTCCAGTGCTGTTGTAACTTTGAACAGTCACTAAGTGAAGGACTACCTGTATATGGCTGGACCTAGACTACTACAATACACATTATGTGGAACTGTGCTACAGATGACTTGAACCCTGTAACTAATTGTGGCAGCCAGAATGCTGATACATAACTTCACCATTTCAGAATGAACCTATTGTTAAGATTGCTGCAGTGGTCACTTATAGGCTTCCAGTAATAGATTAGTGTGCTGTTAAGACCTATATAGTTATAAATGGTGCAATACCAAGATGCATAAGACACTGTCTTCCTCAAGTTAAATCTGTCAGTCTGCTATAAACATGTTAAGCATCCCATCCCTCCCACAAAGAATACTGGGATACGGCTGAGATGCCAGGCTTCCTGTCTAGTAGGCGCCATGATTTGGAACATGCCTCCCCAAGAGATATATTTGATCTCCTCCCCTCCCTTAGAAAATAAAAATGTTCTAAGACAATAAAAGCAGCACATGCTCTTGGTTCTAATTAGCTCTTATTGTTTTTTATTATTATTTTCTTTTTGTTTTATTTGTGCTTTTTAAATTGATTGGGGCATTCTATAAATAATATAAATAACTCCCAGCAGCTTGCCTGCTACATTCTGTACCAGCTTTAAGGATCCCAG